TTATATATATATATATATATATATATATATAGTAATGTTATATTGGATATAAAAAATAGGATTTATCATGCATAGAATACTTACCACTTAACTATCAAGACGCTGTTAAAAGAGTTATTCAATGTCAAATAGTCATGAAATGTAATGATACGTCTAAAAGCGCTTAAATGTGAAACAGCATGAATATCAGAAGAAAGTTTCTTAGAAGATGCTTCAAGGTATTGATGTAGACGATTACAGCGACATCTGCCGTTCAAGGAAAGAATTGCAGAGACAACTTTACAAAATGATTGCCGCAAACACCCAGCGCCATCCCGCGGTTGCTACCATTACTGGATTTAAGAAAGTGAGCCAAAAATTCCAAGAATTAACGCTAATTAAATCATCTGCATACCTATTATCTTGTCCTGTCAGGATCAGGTACAAAGAAAAAAAAAAGAAATAGATAGAATATTCATTGACCAGAAAGAAAGTTGCAAACGTACCTGAATCTTATGGTGAGAGATGTACAATGACAACAATAAATAGCAATAGATAACCGTGGTCAGTCTAAAGGTATGTAATTACAGTGTAATTTTATTATCATATGTAACGTCGGTAGTGCATAGCTTCGACATACAGGAATTGATTCTTAGGCTTACAATATGTCACCAGTACGTCTAATTTGTGTCATTGATCAAGCATCGGGAAATTATTAAACACAACATTGAAAACAACAAAGCGCTTTAATTAGATATACGATTAACGCATAAACACTTAATTGCCACACTTGTCGATGTGAACTTTCATTATCCCCTGTCTATGCATTTCTACCATTTTGATAAACTCCGAGGGCATCTCGTGTGCGTAAGGCGCTACAAAGATGGCCGCATAGAAATAGTGGTAGCGGATCTTCTGTCCCCAGCCGCCGAACGGGAAGGGCCAGAACCCGTACACGTCCACGTGATCGCACATGGTCAGGGCCGTGGTGACTAGGTACAGGCCTGCAGAGGTAAGGGTATCACGTGAACTTGAGGCACTATGACGATATGAATTAAGACACACACATTCTTCTCACAGCATGACTATCATAAGCAGACCGCCATGACAAATAGAAAACTGCAGTCTGGCCCCCACAAACTCGGTAAGTGTCTGAAAACCGTCGGAAATTTGTGAAAAATGATATTAGATCAGCAACTGCATTGAAGCCAACGTGCCCTCTTGTCGGCTAATTCCCTTGACAAATCATTAATCCTAATCTGCATGGAGACTGATGTGGTACCTGTTGTTGCCTTTCGTGGAATCCCGTGCTCCATCCAGTACTGCGTGACGGCCAGGAAGT